CCAGTGACAGAGTGCCAGTCATGAATGTCAGATCCCATGGATAATCCATAGCGCCTCATCCCATATTCATGGGTCCATGCTTCCACATCCACATCATGGTTCTGGTCCTTGCTGAGGTACAAAGGCAACTCCAGAAAGACGTCATAAAGCACATAATTCGAATGAATCCCCTCGGGGGCGATGCCAATTCCAGCCAAAGACGAATTTTCGAAATTCAAAGCTTTTCTCGGACCCTGGAAAAAAAAAGTATATACTGTATACACAACATCAAAATTTAAGAGCACAAAGAAAAAAAAATGGTCGCACTTGAACAACGTCTTCAATGTCTCCAAACATCCCTTTCCGGCCTCCAAAGTTGTTCAAGAGACAGAAAACGAAAGGCTGGCCATAAAATGACTTGAATTTCGGGTACTGAGGGAACATTTCCGCGTACAAATCCAACACAAGCATTGATCCTATGGGAACAGAGGTTAGAAGAGCCTCAGCCAATGCTGGGGTCCACTGCCCAGAATTCTCCAACATCCAGCCTTGCATAACCCTGAATAAATTGAAAGTTTATTAAACGAAAGAAAAATTGAATTGTGGGTTTTTTCCCTTTAAAACCTCATAAAATACACAAAGTGAATAAAATATAAAATTTCTGCGTTGGCAAAGAACATTTATTTGAAGGTTTATCCAACATTCATCTTGGAACACATTTTGCCAAAAATTGAGCTTCAACTTAAAATTCATCGAATATTTCCACCCCCCTCCCAACGGCCATTGGCTAAATTAATTATTTTGACAGTGTTTATACCTGAACTTGGTTTACAAAATTTAAGTAACAATTAAGAATTAGGCAAAAAACCCTCTTCAATTTGAGAAAATATTCGAAAATAGAGATACTGTGGTAACTATAATAAAATCTTTGTGGAAAATATCACTTGAACAAATTATTCCAACAGTCCAGGTTCACAAATACGATGTTTTTCATTGCCTTGGAGAGGTATTTAAAAAATAAGAACATGCTTTTCCATTTGTGCTGAAAAATTACCAAATTGCATCAGGATCCACAGCAGCCAAGGAGTTGTAAACACCTTTCCCAACGGTGTTCAAGTATTCAACAGGGTCCACACCTCCAGGAATCCCATTTTCATTGAAAAGATCACAACTGTACAAGTGGTCAGTTCCAAAATCAGCTATCAGTTGTTTCACAAATGCTTGACTGATTTCAGAATACAGGACACTTCCAGGGTCTAACAAATACAGACTGAAACAAATAACATCAAATACTTCATGCATACACATAAAATACACTCATGAAAATTCAAAACCTAGCACACCAGGAATAATTGGGGCAGTTGAAATTGTTCCATGTAGTCAACTGTCTCGCTGTAGAGCCAGGATTCTTTCTGCAAAAAAAAATACCCAACAGCAAAATTGAAAACCCAAAAAAATCAACCAAAGCTTGTGCAAATCTCCTTACTTTAGGACCTCTTGAGGAACAAATCCAGGAAAACAGGGCAACACAGGCTTCATCCCCAAGCTTCTACTCCTATCCAAAATCATGCCCAACAAATCCTTTTGATCCTTGAGCCAATAATCAGGCAA